TTTAGGCTTTTTTTTTTGAGTGACTTACACCAGTGGTCCCCAAACTTTTTATCGTCGTGGACCGGTCAACGTTAGATAATTTCACCACGGCCCGCTGAGAGCTTGGGGGGGGGGGAGTTTGATTGTTTATATGTTGGATTGCTTTGATTTATAATTTGGTTCCCGCTGTGACTGCCCTCTTTTGCCCATTCCCATGGCTCTGCCTGAGGGCAACATGGCACCCAGAGCAGTTTACTATGGGGACCAGTGTGCTGGCCAAATTGTCGGCTGTATAAACACGCCACTCATTTTAAAAAAAAAAAATATTTATCCTGTGACTCCACAATTACCCATAAAATTGTTTGATGTCTTTGTTTTTTTTATAGGGATGGGGCTAAAAGCTCCTCGGACGTTCGAGTTTGGGGGTGGGGAGTGCCCTCCCCCCCCCCCCAAAAAAAAGAAGAAAAAATCAAGTGCAAGAACACCCACCCCCTACCCCCACCCTTATGGCTCCAGTTGCTGTGAGCCTTTGTGTCCGCGTCCCTACTTATCATGCAGAAAATCTGTTAAGCTTATATAAGGGAAATAATTTAATGTTTCTTGGGCGGCCCGCGTCCATTTGATCCACGGACCGGTACCGGTCCGCGGCCCAGGGTTTGGGGACCACTGGCCTACACTATTCGATTATAAGTATTGTACTGTTTCGAAAATTTGCCGAGCCCAATCATGAGCCGAAATATTACTTCCTTGTCTTCTCGTTTTATCAGCATTTTTATAAATTAAAAAAAAAAAATTCAAGTTTCAAGACATAAATTGCATGGTATAAAACTAATTGTACATAAATACCAAGTTCTACAATTTAAAAATGTAAAATGGCCACAACAGTCATTTCTCGATATGCGCAAAAATCGTTCACGACTGAGTTTCACAGTAATTATAATATCTCAGGCAATTTTGACCACAAATTAATGTTTTGAAAATTACATGAATAAAGATTTTTTTTAAATTATTAAATTTTAGATGTAACAACTTTTTTTAAAAAATCTGTATCATAAAATTTTTACCCCCCTCCCCCCCTCTCCCCCCCCCCCCCCCATTCTCGATATGCGCAAAAATCGTTCACGACTGAGTTTTACAGTAATTATAATATCTCAGGCAATTTTGACCACAAATTAATGTTTTGAAAATTAAATGAATAAAGATTTTTTTTAAATTATTAAATTTTAGATGTAACAACTTTTTTTAAAAAATCTGTATCATAAAATTTTTACCCCCCTCCCCCCCTTTCCCCCCCCCCCCGGTCATTCTGTGTAATAAATTCTGGACGAGTGGTAAAATTTTTGTGACATCAGATTTAAAACAATATTTTTTACATCTTAAATTATAACGCCAATATACAATTTATAAACATGACCAGTTCTGAAAACACATAAACATTTATAGACCTTCTTACAAAATCGTTTTTATATCTCTTTGACTGAGTAAAAAACTTTATACTATTTTTAAAAAAAACAATTTCTACCAGTATGTTTTTGTTTTTATTTGCGTTAACACGTAAAATGATGCTTGCTTTGCTCTATGTTGAAAATCCATACATTATTTAAGAAGTTTAACCCGAAGAGAAATAAAATAAAATTTAAACTCATATTAATATGTATGGATATGTAAAAATATAGAATAAAACAAGCAGGTCTAGCAGGGCTGTCGCTTGATTTTTCGAGTTGAACTGCCACTTTTTCCTATTGTCCTCACCTAACCTTGCATTCAAATTTGATGATCAAAAAAGCTAAAAAATATATAAAAGGTCCTCTTCAATCGTATGTGTTACAAGAGAAACATGCTTGCTGTGAGTTTAAATTGCACTCACATTTTTAACTATTTCCTCTCCAAATAAGTGTAGAATGTAGCAAAACTAAATCGAGTATGACCTAAACTTCATTCTTACATTTTAAATTAATCAAACATTCTCTGAATTCTATAAAGATTCCAGGGATTAGAATAACTAGAGCAAAAACAAACCCTTACGGGCGTCAAAACTCGAATGAATTTACCCTATGTTTGGCTGGGGCGGAGTTAAAGATTTTCTTGATCCTTATTATTGCTTATTTCAGCGCGTCTCACAACTGGAGTGAATTTAGTTTATGTATGGCACTGAGTGCCACAATTCAACACACCCCGACGTTTGAAAAATTTCACCCCAAATCAAAAGAAACACTGAATTCAAGGATCCTCGAAGATGTCCCTCTTGATAATTATTTAAATATCCAAAATATCGTCGGGAGAGGACTCCTCAGCTGCACTTGCTTTCACATAACAATCTCTGCAATTATCGAAAAATTCCTCCCCCAGCAAGTCTAAAAATTAGCACCATGGTATGCCAACCCATTCAGCCCCCATTCCCTGCCCCTGGGAGAGGCGTAGCAAGAGAGTTGTGCGCCATGGGACACGATTCATTTAACTTCATCCCTCAAATTTAAACCCATTTTTTCATCCATTAAAAAGCGCCAGAGCCCATTTTGGCTGCCTCATTAGTCTAGTGCACGGAGACACCTGCCATTTCTTTTCCCTACCCTCAGCTACAAACCTGGCCACTGGCACTGCCCCCTCCCCCAAAAATCTGAGATGCCTCCCCGCTTTTCATAAGGAAATTTTCTGAAAGAAACACTGTAATCAAAAGCCAACATTTTGAAATTTCCTTGTTTTTTTGGTAAAAATTTAAAAAACTTAAAATCGATCTTCAGACATTCTACTGCAAGACGGGCAAATATAAATTGTAAAGTGTTTATGGGGAAACTAAATCTTGAAAGCTAAATTGATATTTAGCTTGATTTTTTTTTAAAAAGAAAGGACATACACACTTTTGAGTTCAAAACCAAAAAGAATCATTTGAAGATAGTTAAAATTCTTCTCGGAAAAAAAATTATTTTTCATTTTGATCATGGTAAAAATATATATAAATCCAATAATTAAATAGCTTTAAAATGAATATATATATATATATACGCAATGGAAGATAAATGAAATGAGTGGTTTGCTTTTAAAAGTAAAAATAAAGGTCATGGGCATGAAATAAGCGTAGTACAGATTATTCCTAAAGTATGTTTGCTGTCATAACAATGAAAAGAAATAGATATTGCTTGCTGTTTTGAAGTCACGCATAACAATGTATATAATTAGACAATAAAGATAGTTATTGTGTTTTGTGAAAGTGTATTGATTTTTTAAAGGGATTAATTTAATGGAAGCTTCCGTGATATGTTATGTTTATTGAATTTCTGGAGTCCTAATGGTTAAGGAGGAGAGCTTAGTTAACAAGGTGTGGCATAAATGTTAGATATTGATCAAAATGTGAGTGAAAAATAATTAAAGTGAAATGTGTAGGGTAAGGATATGAAGATTATAATTTTGATGACAAAAGATGGAAAGAAATTCGGATCATCAGGAGGTAAGAGGTTTGCTAGAGATTAAAATAGTGTAATTACTTTAACATCATTATACACGGCATCATGCGGAATAAAAATTTGGAATAAAATTTAATGAATAACATCCATTGCAAAAAATTTGGTTCTAAACTTTAGCTTAGTATGGAATCAATGAACATTACGTAAAGAAAAATTCTATTTCGAAGGGTCAAGGTGGGGTAATTGTTCTGTCTGAGATTTGAGTATAACGTGTTCTAGAGATAAGAAGAAATATAATAGTTCATGTGGGGAGGGATCAATAAATCATATTAGGGGTTTGAGATGGGAATGAGCGTAATTGGGTTGGAAAACGGTTTTTCGTTTGAGAGATTTGCAAAGAAAACGGATTGGTGATGGTTGAGGAGAGGTTGTATTATGAGAGAGGACGTATTATGAGAGATGTTGTATAGTGAGAGCTGCTGTATTATGGGTTAGTCTGTAAGTGAGGATTTTTTGTTGTTTCAGTGGTTGCTGTGGAGGTAAGGTTGTTCGGTTCGTCACGAATTAGAGACATTGGGGAATGAGAGACTCTTTAGGATTATTGAAGAACGATTCTGAAGAAAATATCAATGACGAGAATGTTAGAGTTGTTACATTAAGAAATGGCGTCAGCAGGGCGAGTCTAGACTCTTATGCCCCCCACCCCCCCCCAAATTACCCCTCCCCGGTCCGACGTATCGGGCCGCGGAGCGGCACGTGTGAAATGCCCACCCGTCAGGACGGCCCCCACACGGGCCCCCCACCCAAGTCCCCCGCCTGGGCGCTCGACCAGGACCCCGCCTGGGGGCCGCCCCAACCAGGAGGCACCCGGTCGATCCGACACTATGCGTTTAAACAGTGCACTCGATCGACTTTCTCAGGAGTTGGACCCCCGCCTGGGCGCTCGACCAGGACCCCGCCTGGGGGCCGCCCCAACCAGGAGGCACCCGGTCGATCCGACACTATGCGTTTAAACAGTGCACTCGATCGACTTTCTCAGGAGTTGGGATGGAAAAATTTACGTCCTAATATCTTCCCCCACCCATCCCGGGAAAGCGTCGGACGCCCTATAAGAGGGATTCCACAGTGGGTTTCCACAACGCGACTAGCTCACGATGTAGCTGGGACGAAACGGTTGCCTAGGGACAGCTTCTCACGGCTGCATTAATTGAATCCTCGGCCAGAGGTTACCACCCTCGCCTCTGACCTCATACCCGTCAACGGCAACTTGTAATCATGATCCCTACCCTGGCTCTGCCTAACTTTCCGATTGCGAAATATCACAGCCGGCAGCCCTGTGGGAGCTGTTTTATGTATGGCAGGTACCGAGCACAACCTTTGTCTGCCCACGCGGGGCGTGCCCAGTAGTTATGTTTCCAGGCAAACGCCGAGGGGGTCGGTGGCCGACGCTTCCTAATCGGCAAGCCACAACAGACTTGTCAACCGGAAGCCTGGAAGAGAATGTTAGAGTTAGAAGATATGGACAATTATAGTTTATATATTTAACATTTTTCGAGATAGAACATATCGTCCATCTCATTTTCACATTTATTAAGTCATTCCTCGTGTTATATAAACATTCTACTTACCATCAACTCGGTTGTAGATTGTGTAACTTGACACTGTAACATTTGATTTAAAAGATAGGGTCCATCTCGGGGCAGACTCGCCCCCGTCTTGCGTATGTGTGCAAAAATTCCAATTCGTATTACCATCTACAGCATTGCTTGCGGGGTACATTGCGTAATAGTAATTTGATGTTTGATTTGTTGGTTGTTTTAAAGCAACATTTCGACCTGGAGATAAAATTGATTTAAAAACAAACGCGTTAATTTTTATTTTGAGTTATCGTGGCTTTAATTTCAATGATCTTTTCTTCCTTAATTACATGACTTCTTTGTAAAAACTATTATATTGGAGTCTTTTAAAGGCGCACATTAAAATGTCAGTTGACATAGTCCCTTTAATTTTAAAAAAAAAAAAAAAAAAAATTGTTTATGGAATATATTCGTACTTGCAACTATAACGATATTTCCATGCCTTACTCAATTCAAACTTAACAAAAATTAGAAACTTTTTAAATATATATTTTGTTTTAAATAGTTGTTTTTTAATGAAAAAAATATTTTAAAAAACAATTTTAATGCCTTTAATATTTTCTGTATATAATAGTGGAATAAAATGTATCAATATATGTGTCAATAAATTTATCAATTTTATTTTTAGTTAATATTTAAATACCTTTAATTTGTATGTAAATAAAAATCACTTTTATATTTAAAGAAATAAAAAAAAATTACTAATTATTTAAAATTTGGTTGAGGTTGATTCCATCGAGCGCTACAGTGATGGATAAATTATTTAAAATTCTACTTTGTTATAAAATGTTACCTTTGCTGATATAAAGTGAACATAATGTGTTAACTGCCGATCCGTTCAAGATAATTCCTTGTATAGGGTTTGAAATGTTGCAATAAATGTCGGTTGTTATTTTATCAACAAACACTTTTTTACATTCCACATTTTGTGTTGTGACGTCACCAGGAAACTTTATTGAAACACTTTCCTTTTGTCCTTCTAAACATGCAGGACATAATATACAATTTATTATACACTACTTTATTGTCTGTGAAAATATATAATTGAAAACATATTAAAATAAGACAACAAATAAATAATGAGCAGGATGTTGATAACTTAAAAATTAAATCCAAGAAATACGAAAAAAAAGACTTTAATTACCACCATTTCCGACTATAATCCGCAACCAAGTGAAGTAGATCTTAGAAGGCCATTTGACATCAAGAGAGAAACTAGAACCTGTAAGAACTGCACACGTTGTATCATTTCCATCTGTAATCTTTGTATTATCTTGCGATGTGCCGCCGGTAAGTGTCAGTTTTGCATCTTTCGCTAAATCAGCTGAAATAAATTGTATCTGCCAGTTAAGAAAAGTTTGCAATTTAAATCATATAAAAATATGTGTTAAAAAAAGTCGAGCGTAGTTGCATTTTGAACCTGTTTTTTTTAAAAATGTATTTGTATAAAACAATAAATTACATTATTGTGACAATATTTAGACATAGTCTTTTTTTGTGAGAAAACTTGTCTTCGCAGTATTGTTCTGTCACGTTGTCCCGACATGCTCTAATAAGAAGAACTTTCAGGAAGTAAATAGAAATAACAGGGCATTAAATAACGACCAGTTTTAAGCATTATACCAAATAACTCGGGTATTAATAGCATACTGATAGATTTTATGAAATGAAGGAAACAAAGTTTGGGGAAAACCTGAAAAGAAGACACACAACAAAACAACGAACGTGTCGGTAAGAGGCCTTCATCAACGAACACACAACAGTAAAAACAACGTTTAAAACTTAACATTGAGCTTTAAACGGACATCCGGGTGGACGGCAAGAGGAATGTGACAGAACATAAGTAGATGAGATAATTAATACAAGGAAAGTGGGACAGAGAAGGAAAAAGTGAGTTTGCAGCGTTTGGTCGTAAACAGGAGGCGGTTGGAGAAAAGGTTTAACACGTGAAGGAGAAAATGGCAATCATGATTTTTGGTGTAAAAAATCCATAAGTCTAAATCAGTTTGGTTTTCAAGTACAGCCGGTTTGGCATTCCTGTAAAAGACACAAAGGCGATGACAATAAAATCCCCTGCAGCCATCGTGGTCGCTTCTAATGAAGTGTTTTGAGTTGGGTTACTCCTTTTCTTGGGCACTATTAGTGGCCTTAGGTACCTCTAACTAAAAGGCGGTGTGCAGTCTCATCTGGATACGTCATCTGGAAGTGGCTACAAACAATGGCCTAGACACTACAAAGGAAACCCTTCCTTATCAGAAAAGAACCCCGTAAGGAATGGAATGTGTTGAGTCTGGATAAACAAAAGGACATTTTAGCAACAGCTGCCCCCACATAGCTGGGTCACAAATGAGAGGGGCAATCGCAAATGAAACCATGCACAAGGAGAGTTCACATATTTTTTTCAAATTCATTTTAAAACAATGAGAGGCAAGTAAGAGAAAATAGTCTGGGTGTCAGGGACAGAGGAAATGCACAGTGAGAATATGTGAGAATAAATGTATCCTGTCGCCATTGTTACTCTGACGAGTGATGAAGGCACCAGACGGAGTAATATTTTAACACGATGCATAGCTGATGAAAATACTGTATCCAGGTAGGCTAGGTCCGGAGAGTGAGCTTTACGATTTGAGCAATACTGTCCAACTTTAAATAAAAATAAAGGCTACTATTGAAGTAGAAAATGCATTGGTCTGATGTACGTGCGAAGAAGGAACAAGACGTTAGAAATAAACAATCATTTCAAGTGCCTCATCCTCAGACTGGCAAAGACGATGTCATTAAAAAATGGAGTTGAGTCCACACAAGATTTAGGCAATATTTTTAGTGTTTAGTGATTTGAAGTCACGCCTTTTGCTTGCTGTTTTGAAGTCAAGCCCATTCTTTTCTTTAGTGAATTCCTGACTAGTGTTAGCTGTTTTAAAGTCTATCCTATTCCTTTCTTTTGTGAAGTAATGACTAATTTTTGCTGTTTTAAAGTCAAGCATATTGTTTGCGGTTTTGAAGACACATCTATTGTTTGCTGTTTTAAAGTCAAGTGTGTTGCTTGGGAGAACATTTGAGAGAAGTCGAAGTCTAGTCCCATATCCCCTTTTGATAAAGTACATACGTCTAAATGTTCTTCAGTAGCACTGTCGCACGTCCTTGCACAGGGCCGTATCTCGGTGGGTTTTTTTTCTGATTAATGAAGTGTAATTTGTGTCTCGGGGAATTCCTGACAGAACACAAACATATCGCACCATCTCATTAAACCTGTCTCGTCTCAAACACTTTCCTTTGCCCACACGGATCCAATCATTACCCGAGACACTGAATGCAAATCTTCACCACACTAAAGGAATACATCTATAAAAGACAAACATTTCCTAATGTTATTCCTAATAAGCAACATCCCACCAGCTAAGAAGAAAAACAACAAATTACAACGATAAGAATTTGCAGGAACAAAGTTAAGTGAAAACACAAACGTCTTGGTACTTGTTTACACATGTACTATATGTTTTAACGTTTAAATAACCCTTATATAACAGGATAATTGTCTCCATAGGTAAAAAATAAATAAATCAACTGTGTCATTCCTCATCAGAATTTGAAAACGCACTAAAAATAAAATTTATCAAATAATTAATGTTACCACTGAAACTCCCCATATATACAAACATACTCTGCATGGTACTGGAGGAAAAGTTAGCGAATTAAAAGTCCAGAAAGCGACATATTTGAATGAGATCTGACCTCTTGCAAATATAAATAATACAAATAGCACGGAACAAATGTTTTAACCCCTCGGAAAAGATGACCAGAAGTCAGAAGTTCTCGTTTCAGGCAAGAAAGACATTGCTGATACCATAAAATCGCGCCATCAAAATAGAAACGTGTGAGAAGCGTTATTCAACTGCAAATGTTCAAATAAAATTCTAAAACGATAAGTCCAACACCGAAAACGCAAGTAATATTTTTAGTACTGTGAAAGTCTGATTGCCCCTTCTAAATTTGTTTTAGGTATTTCATTTCAAAGTCAAATTGTATAAATGAACCCTCATTACTTTAGAAAAAATATTTAGAGGAAAGCTAAAGGAAACACGTTTTTATTCAATTTTTCTCATTAATTACATGACCGAATCAACTGAACAATCCAATAGTAAACACAAAGTCTGCCTTATTACTTTGCATTAATGTATTTCAAGAAACATCTTTTCACATGTACTCGTGAAAACAGATATAAGAGCTAGTAAATCTTGTACAACCCATACAAAAACTCCTTATAAAATTCATATTAATATCGACCAAAAAAAGAATGAGATGTAAAAAAGCCATCAAAAGTTTTAACAGTTGTATAACGTTACGAGTGACGATGATTTTTTTAACTAACAAGTGCAATTAAAACCATGGCTCCAATAAAGATGTTATGTTCTCATCTTTCTCACTAAATTGTTTCTAAATGTAAGCAAATGAAATCAACATATCCGCTTTTACTGTCACGCGTTACACATCACCACATGATGAGAGACAATAAATGAATGGAAATAAATTTTAAATGTTTGAAGTCTGGTAGGTTGTAAATGGCAGAGCATCTAGAACCAAGTAGGATGAGGGAGGAAATTATAAAAATATTAGTCCTGTAACTCTCGTAGAATATAGATATTAAAAGCAGATGTAATAACAACATGGCGACTACGAATCTCAATTGGTAAGTTTAAATGTTTCTTTAAAGTATATGAAGAAAATGTTAGCTTTTGTTTTTCGTTTACATTTATGAAAGTTAGAATGTTTTCTATGCTCTAACAATTACTTTTATGATTTGGTTACTATTATAAATAAGCAGTCAGGATTTTATTAGATGGACCAATTAGGAATAAAATATTCATACTCATTATGTACATTTCTTCTTAATTATAAAGTGTGCAGTGGGATACAGTGTAAAGATTATAAGAGTTGACAAGGATTTGAGTAAAAGAGATAAGGGACACGGAGACATTGAAAATACAATGGATGGAGGGGTGAATGAAGATATAAGGTTAAGATAAAGTTGGCTAATGGGATAGATTTATGATGAAGATTATGAGTATATGTCAGAAAAACAAGCTATTAAAAAGTTTAAAAAGGAGAAAAATGTGTTGATATGTTAATAATAAGGAAATGATGATTGTCTAGTGAGTTAGTTTAAAAGAGAATGAGTGAGAGTGTATATATGGTTGAGCAGGGTATAGTCTAAATAGAGGCTTTTAAATGTTTTACCATACGTGCTTATTGATAATATCTTACCGTACTGACATGCTGGACCGAACCATCCAATATCACATCCATTAGGACAGTCACCATTGGTAACATTACAAGCTGCATCATTCTTACAGTGACATTTGTACTGGCAGTAGGCACCAAACCAATTTTTAAAACCGTCTGATGTAGTACAAGCTGTCATAGACAATTGATTCAAATACATTATTTATCTTACAATGCCCCATAAAACATGTTACAATACACATTTTGCTTTTAAAAATACGGGATTACAAGAACACAAAAATATAACGAATATTAATAACACTGACACTCAATTTAAAAAGAAATACTACTTTCAATGCATACAATTAATAATTAATGAATTAAAAATAAAGGTATTTGACACCAGCTGGATTTATTTAACCAACACTTCACCAAAAATAAAGTCTATTTAACAAAACGTATATATCAGATTGTCTTCTCTTTTATCTAGTGTTACGAATGAAAAGAAAAAGTTTTGGTGAGTACGTAAACTTACATTGTGCAGACATGTAGATAACGGACTGTAGCAGCATGGAAAAATACCATGAACCTATTAATCTCATGATGTTTTTATCACGATATTTCTGATGCTGTGATCTACAACAAGATGAAATAAACAAACGTTAAATTAGGCAAAACTCTCATAAGTCAATTAGAAATTGACAACAAATTTTCTTAAAAAGTTAAAATGAACTTGATGTTAAAAAATTGCAATGTCCCAGTTTCCTCATCTTAAGAATGAAATCTGTTTAAAATGAAATCTGTTTTTATTGAAATCTTAAAAAAAAAAATGCTTTTTATGAAATCTATTTACAATATTATGATTTGAAAATGTCGTGTATTAATTTTTTTTTTTTATGATTAAGTAATATTGTTTTCTGTGTCATTAAGAATAATCTTGTGAAGATTATTAACAATAAATTCTACTGACAAATTATTGTATTAACCTGTGTGAAAAGACTAAATATTTACAATAATTAAAGATACAAAGCATAAGATAAA